CCGAATTACCGGAGCAACACGTGTCCCCCAAGTATGTATCGAGACGAGACGACAGTAACAGCACTAGTCCTAGCTTAGGTGAGTTGATTTCGATATTCTTCTAGATACTTGATCTATTAAAATATATTAATTTGTATCTCACAATCGATGAATTATAAATTATGTTGTACAATTCGACAGATCTCGGGAAAGAAGCCAGCCTTGAAGCTAAATGGTCCCGGGTTCTGGGAAAAGTGCAGGCGACCATCGAAAGAAATGAACGTCGCCTGGTTGAGCAGGATTGCCGGGAAAGGACAGAGTTAGATTGGAAACAGGTCGCTCTGGTCAGTGATCGTACACTGTTGTGTGTTTTCTTGCTCACGACGATCATCAGTACGGCGGTAATTTTATGCGGTTCGCCACCCCCAACCCGAGCATATCGAAAGATTAATTCTTAAATTATTGATTAAATTACTGATTAAATGAAAGGCAATTCTGATAATTTTGATCAGAATGAGATTATAAAAACATCACATAATTGAAATGTTAATTGAAACATTATTACAATTTTCACAAATTTACTTTAAATTGCAAGTTAAGGTAAATGCAAAAAGAAAACGAAAAAAAGAAAGGAAGAAAATCCGCTTTTTATTAGCCTTAGCAATAAACTTATTTAATTTATTTATCTCTAAAAATTCGAAAACTTTTGGCAAACTTTGCCTACTTCAAAATTACGATTTGAGTATAAAATATTAACATAGATCTAGAAATAAACGGTCTGTATCGATGAACTAGTCTGAATGTACAATAGATGTGTTATCAATGTGCAAATAACAGAATGTGCTTCAACAGAATTAACGATATAAAATTTAAGACATAAAAAGAATAAATAACGAGATACTCTTTATTCATTATATCTAATAACCACATACAAACCCCATTAACATTCTTGAGTTAGATATATAAAATTTTTTACAAAAATGTATAATAAATTAATCTTTTTTATATTTATATAAAAGTAGCTTTTCTTTTTCGTGCATTTTTATCTATAGGAATATAAAATTAGAGAACGTATATTGGAAATGTATTACCTAAATATAAGTCACCTAACAATTGTCAATAGTAATCAGGTACGGGTGCACAAGCTATTTTCACAAAATCTTCGTATTTAACATGTCCATTCAGAGACACATTGGCTTCGCGAAAGATTTGCTCCACTGTAACAGAAGACAGTTTATGTCACACACATAACTAGATTAATTATTTATTTATTTTACAAACCTTCTTTACTGCTCAATTGTTCACCCCAATGAAGCAACATATGTGCCAATTGCCGTGCTGGAAGAATACCATTGTGAGAAGTATCTGCAGCTTGAAAAGCTTTAATTACTTCTTTTGGTAGATCTTCTGCACGTGTCTGAAGATGCATGACTTCCAAAAAATCAGCAAAAGACATTTTTCCACCTATAATCGACAAAAAAAGTTATTTGATTTGCAAAAATATTGTACAAACATTCTTACCTTTATCTTTCATGTACTTGTTTAATTCTGCGATAGTTGGACTTAGTCCCAAAGATCTCATAATTATAGTAAGCTCATCCAGTGTACGAATCTGACCGTTTCGAGCAAATAAATAAAAACATTCACGGAATTCTGCAAAAAGAATAATTTTACAATAATCTTAAAATTTATAATGCAATAAATATGTATATGTGCAACAATCTCAACATACCATCAATATCTTCTTCTCTGAAATAACGTGCCTAAAACATTAAGAGAAAACAAAATTATATTGCAACAAAGAAAACTGTAAAACGTAGCGTTTTCGACTGAATAGATTTGGTTTGATCTGAAAACAATTAATCGCAATTTATCATAAACTCATGTTCAAGAACTAACATATTGTATTGATCTGAAAATTTCTTTGGATTTTTCGATCAAAAATTTTGCGATGACTTATCTCCCCACAATCTTTTGTGCTCGATATTGTTGTAAACAATTCATTTTCTATTTTCATTTCGCCCATAATCATTCGCTTCAAAGATGACTTGTTTTCATTGTGTTTTATTCAACAGTAAATTGCAAGTAATGAAATAATCGATTAAATTTTATTCGATCAATTTGTGTGGCACCCAACATTAAAGCAATTCACATATCAATTTTCTAAATGACTGTGAACATTAGATTGTGATACTGTTAATGTTTCTGCAATCGCTTGCATTATCATGTGTTTGCTTCCACCAGTGTTTTGATTTCGTTGTCAATTGTAACAAGTCTTGTATTTATTCCTTAATATATTTTCTAATTATAAAATTTTGTATATGTAAACATGATCCAGATTTTGATTATGTTTTTATTAGTTCACGACAGATCCAATAACGTCAATAATCGCTCCCAAATTGATTCAGTCGAAAATTCCAATAAAGAAAGTAGATCAAGATGCAGAATTAAGATTATATTTTTAAGAAATTTTTAAGAATTGTTGAGATAATTGTAACGTGTATTGAAATTACCATGATCAACTAAATGTATCCTATTGTGTCCTTTTCTCAGTATTGTTTCCTTACAATTTTAACATAATAGCGTTTAAATAGCTTTCTGAAACTTAACCTTGCCTTTACTTTCTCTTTGTTGTATACAATGAACTATATATTGCTTACACGTCTCTACGCATGCGCACATCATTGAGAATACAGGCAAGCCAAAAAACTTTTTACGCTCGATTACAATCAAAAGTTTCGAACTTAACTGTACGTAGAAGGACAGCAATACACGACATGTGCTTCTCTCTCGGCTTGCGATAAGTGATTTAGTGCCCATTCCAGTATATACATAGTTCAGTGATTGTATATAATCCAAAACATGCAACCTTACATTGTAAAAAATTCATACTACGTCCGATGCGTCCGATGACTCGATATACGAGTCAAAACTCCATTCCAAAAAAAGTAATTTCTAGAAACTTTGTCTGACGCCATTTTCATTCAAGAAATTTTCTTATTGGATATCGAATGCAGTGGGATGTCAGATGCAGGGATTGTCAGATAATGGACGCAATATGAATTTTCCATAAAACAAGGTTTGTGCTTCTATTCCTAAAATTAGTTTTCTAGCGTTTCGATTGAACGGACACATAAAACACACATTTATCAAATGTCAATGAGAACGTCAAGTAAGCTTGTACTATAATTTTAATTACAAAAATTACAAAAATAATAACATTACTTCTACTACAATAATGGTAGGAAAAAACAATATTCACCCAAGATTATAAATGTTTCAATTAAATAATAATTATTTTTAACAGAATTATTTTTTCACTCTGTAGTAAATATTTCTAATAATTCTAAGAATTCACTCGAATGACAAGTAGTCAAACAAGAATAATTAATCAAATAGCATTACGAGTTTGATAATCTTTCAGCAAATAAAATCCATGTTAATTGCGACTAATTCAATCGGGTCGTTATTGAACAACGAAAAGAGTGGCGAATCCGTTTGTAGCGCAGCAGCGTTCCGAAAAGAATGGTTAGACGGGACAATAGCACGGTACCGTCTCTTCCGATGACGGTAAATTAAAATTTATTTCAAATGTGCCGTGTGCTCTCTGCGTATACCATTGATTAACGTTTCTCGCCATCAATCTTGTGCCTTTTCTAAAGCCGACGATTGTTCTCTTGTCTATCATTTTATATCCATTTCAATTGTGAAATTGAGAATTAGATTTCTTATCAGTTTACATTTGATATTAATGTCGACTTCAATTTTATGATTTGTAATCTTTTAAAAATTATACATTAAACAAATTGCTCTATAAACAAATAAAACCTTATCATCGTAGCAATCAACGCTTCCTCGTTCGATAGTTACAAACAGTTAGCGTTCCTCTCGAGGTTAGCAGTCGTTAAGAGCGAATATGAACTCGCAGCAGCCCATGGAAACTAATTGGATACCGCGGGCTTGTCCTTTGCAGCATACCGTTTCCATAATTAAATTGCTCACGGCCTCGACGCCACCGCATGTCGATAATCAAACTAATCCACGGTGCAACATTCCTGGGGTAATGGTTTCGCGCCGTCGAGGATGAGGGAGGAGATTTCATCTTCTCGCTTTCTTCATCCTCTTTTTTTTCTATCCCCTCTGTCACCCGTTGACAGTTTCGCAGTTTCTTTTATCAATCGTTCTTCGCGCTCTTCTTTCTAGAAAACGTATATTCATTACATATTTTGTGTATACATGAAGGTAGAAACAATATACCCAACGACAGATACCAAAATATATTGCGCAAAAAAGGAAGATGGAAAGGGTAGTTGATGTATGGATGTAAATGCATGGTAGACAGTAAGAGGGGTGAGAAAGAGAGATTGAAAGAGGCGCGGGGAAAGCGGAATATTGGTGCAAAGGACGCGCGCAAGGAGAAAGTTCGGAAGGACGAACGCGCTCGCGCGAATCTCGTCCTGTCTGTGCTCCGCTACTCTGATCTTCCTATCTTTCTCTTCCCTTGCATATGAAGAAGATAGAAATACGAGTGCGAGTCGGACGACGCGTCGGTGACTGCTAGAAAAATGGTTGGTAAGGTGGAAGGGAGAACGCGAGGGTTGAATAAGTCCGTTTCGCTTGTGGAAAGAGGCGACTCCTCGCGAGGAGTGGCAGGAAGATACAAGAGAGAAAGAGAAGCATTTATATCCTGTGCTTTGATAAACATAGTTACACTCCGCGCGATTTCTAACATTGAGATTCGCCTTAATTAAATGTAACGTTTACAAATAAATATGTAGTATGCTGTCAAAATGAGAGAAGGAAAGACAGAGTGATGAAAAGAGAAATAGAGTAGCAGACGAAGAGAAAGGTTGCGCGGCGTTGCACGGCGCGATGGGCGAGAGAGGGGCAGGAAGGGGACTACAGCTGGGTCGAACGGGTGCAATTGGTGGGGGAAGTCGTTGTCCTCGGGAGTCTTCGTACGCGTGAGTCCGCGAGTGGTCTCGCCAGTAGGATATGGAACTTGTCGTGGAATTGTTGTTAGATCTGCGTGTATGCGTCGCGTAACATGATAATCTCATCTCATTTTGCAAACTCGCGTCTCACCCATCTCCTGTCGCGGCCGTCGCTGGACCGTAACGACGTGTCAAGAGAGGCCGATCTTCTGTGACAGGTGTGTGTGCGTGTGTGTATGTGCGTGTATGTGTTGTGTACGCTGTGCTGTGTATATACGTATCCTCGATGTGTCATGCACGATGGAGTACGCGAACGGCATCGTCATACGGTGGTGATCACCGATGATACGCGGGGCGCGTTGTCAAGCAGCAAGATCGGAGCAGCGAGAACACCCGTGGCTATTGGCAAGACTCGCGAAGCGACGACGCGGAGTTGCGCTTCGGTGAGTGTCAGACGTACAGGGCAAGCGCAGCTATGTGCATTACAAGCGTGCGTATACAGGGAGCCTGGTAATAATACTGCATATCTTTTCCAACGCAATCCTGTGACAGATTCAGAGTCTTTCGGATCAAATTTAAAGGGACAGACCGCTATTTTAATATAAGCCATTTTTTTTTTTCAAAATTAGATATAACATTGCATTAAAAAATTTTATTTTGTTAGATGAAGCTTTGTTATCGTGTCTTTTTGTTAAAAAAAGATAATTAAAATCCGCAAAAAGGATTAAAAAACGTTTTTTTAAAGCAATTTTTCGTGACTCTTAATTGTTGCTCCGATTGTATTTCAATCAAAATGTATCAGCGATATAAATTTCTCAACAAACAAAACAAAGTGAAATTAGTCACGTAGTCGGTGTACGATCGAGATAAATAATCGATCGATATAACTTCTCGAAACGAAATCTCTTGTTTCTACTAAATCAGCACGCGTTCGTAACTTTTATAGAAGCAAAGATATAAACTTTGTATCTATTAAAATTAAGTTCAACACTTTGTTATATTTTATCTTAAAGTAACGTGTTTGGAAATATTTACGACAGAAATTAGTAATAGCTTGTCAGACTCATAAATAAACTTCATAAGTTCGATTGTAAAGTCGAGAAAAAAAAAATTAAAATATACATATTGTTCATTATATGTTCATTTTATTCTTGTTTCCACAATTATAGTTTTACTGTAATTATAAAAAAGTTTAAAGTTTTGTATGATAAAATTTATCTATTCCTTTAAGTAAAATAACCGGTCTGTGCCCACACAGGTGAATCATTCGAAGAATATGTATATGAAAAGAACGAGTTTCTTTGGTTCTTCAGACGAATTCATCATGATTCATTTTTAACAAAACGGTAAAAAAAATTTTTTTTGAGTCTTGAAACGACAATCAAATGCGAACCGTGTAAGTAAATTCGCCGCTTTGCCGTGCCAGGACTTGCGAAATGCAAGTAATGGGTTTCACCGCGCCAAGTCATTCTTCCGCTTGCACAGACGAGACACGATAAAACTCCGTCTCATACGAACATCGTGTAGACATTCCATTTTCGGAATGTAGTGCTTATCCCGTCCAGGGACCGCCTCTACACAGTGTCCTGAGAAAATGTATCCTGCTGCAGTACTGCAGCAGCGCTTCTGTAATTTATTTTGCCTACGAACTTTAGAGTTCCTTGAAATATGGTGACCTACCTACCTAATTGTGAACTTTACATCGGGCAAAAAAATTTCGAAACGAGGATTAATGGCCGAAATATAAAAAAGATGAGGACCATTTTTGAAATTTATTTTCGGAACTCAGATTTGCATTAAATAATATTTAAATAATATCGTTGTCATTGACATATTGAAGTTTGTATAAATTTGCTTTCAGCTAGATTTATCTTATCTGAAAACAGTAAAGTAAGATTATGAGATCTGACAATAAAGTTGCAGAAATTAATTTATCAAACATTTTATTTAAAAATTACGAAGATGTCAGTTTATCTTTTTCAAAGTGGGCTTCTTGAAATCGTACATAAGCATAGAGATGTCGTAACTGTACTTTGTAGTATTTCTAAAATTTTTATTTTCAAAAATACTTTGCAATATCTGTCACATTTATTTGGATTTCTAAAACTAACTCAAAGTGCTTTCCTTTTATATGCTTTTCTTACGTTCGTAGTGTAATCCCCGTTATATATCTGGATGTATGTACATGTATATTGGTAACGTTAATGCGCTTCATTATACAAGCGCGCTTACGCTTGTTCTCGTGCGAACAATTTTCCGGCCACAATTGCCAAGTCGACGGCGCTTTGCCGGCCGTTTCTCTTTCCCTTCGAACTTTTACACTTTACAAGTTTGCTTTTACGAGATAAACACTCGGCCATCCCCATCACTTTCTTATGCAGCATGTATATGAAAACGAGTACGTAATTTTGCACCGCGGCGAGTTTCACGGTCGATCGCTTTATCTAACTTAATCTTTTACAAGAATATGAAATAATTTTGGCAACGTATCGACTCTTGATATTTACGACTAATTTTTTTGGTGTATTTTGTCAACAGAATCGATCGACGGACGAAGAGCGACGCTCGAAGGTAGTGAACGTCACGAAGAGAAGAAGACGACAAGAAAGAGTCGATCCAACGTCGAAGGTGAGGTGAGGTGGAACCGGCTGAAAAAAAAAAGAAGACTAAAAGCGAAGAGGAGACGCGGCGTAGGAGACGGCGGAGAGGTCGAAAGGTTGAGCGACCTACGGACCACGACGAGAAAGAAGTGGCGGGAGGAAGAAGTGGTAGGAAAGGAGCAGGTGGAGGAAGAAGAGAACGACCGGCAGGAGAAGGACGCAGAAATGATCTTGGTAGGTGACTGGCAAAGTGCGATGGTCGATTTCTCAACGAAAGACAGATAGCGCCGCCATTAGTCGTCCTCGGGGCGCGGAACATCGGGCCGATGCGCGTTGCGGCCCTGGCTGTGGGTGAAGAGGGGGAGGGGGAGGGCGAAGAGGAAGAGGAAGAGAAAGAGACAGAAGGGAAGGAGAAAGAAGAAAAGGAAGAGAAAGAGAAAGGTGGAAAGGAGGAGGAAGAAGAGGACGACGACAACGACGAGGACGAGGAGGAAGCAACAGAAGGCCAAGTAGAGCATCATCACGGAGCGCGCGGGCCCAGAATGTGCCCTGCGGCTGCGGCGGCAGCGGTGGGGGGCAGGAGTCCACGGTTTGCCAAGACGTCTATGATTGTATTGCTGCTACTGTTGTTGCCCGTTTGGATTCTGAAGATCGTCGTCGATGCATCTCCCGTTCATCCCGCATCGCCGCACAGAGGTGAGTCACGCTTTTTTTTGTCAACTCAACGTTAAGTCAATGCCCCAAAATGTTCATACAGTTCATGCAATCGACCTAACTCAATACCTTTCGATAAAATTGAAGATACAAGATTAGGAACTTTGCAGTTTAACATGCTAAATGTACACAAACTCTGGAGTACATTTTTTTGGACATTCTGTATTAAATTAGAAAATTTAATTTGTTCTAATTTTCATATATACATATATCAGTCTTTTGCATGTAATTATCTAATTTACAACTTTGAGATTTTTACAATTTTTTAATATCACGAAGGATCGAAGGGTTTTTAGTTTCCGATGATGTTAATTTAAGATGAGAAATTTTTCGGAAATTCGGAGTTTGATGAGTAGTACTTCGCAAGTTGTAATATAAATTCTTATGACAAAAGGCGCTAGAAATGCAAAAAAAAACGCACTGCTTTAACGTAGTTGGTTTATAAAGTTGTATTGTGTCTTTATTTTATTGCCTTGATTATCAATTTAATCTCTCTCTCTCTCTCTCTCTCTCTCTCTCTCTCTCTCTCTCTCTGATATATGTCTGAGTTGTAATTTAATTCAATTTTTACACTTTTCTAATATCTATTGTTAAAATATTTTTCGATATTGGCGCACTCTATACATATCATAAAAATATAAAAACGGTATTAAGTTCCTCACATTGAAATCCAGTGGCGAGATTAAAGATTAATATGTGTGCATCCTCTTGGCAAAGTGAACGTGAAACAAGTGCACTTCGGCTGCTGCACTCGTCCGAGATCTGAAAACGCGTCTCTGAGGAGCTCTTTCAGCCGAGTGGCCGCGGTGAATACTCCAGCGTTCGTTTCCTCTTAAAATTTCCGTTTTGCCCTCCATCCTTAAAATACTAAGCAAATTTTCACAGCGAATACAATATTTCATAACGTATATTCATAGCGCAAAAGTATAATAAATTGGTTTCATAATTATTATGCGTCAAAAATAATAAATCATAACAATTGCAAGTATCATCAAAAATATAACTATATTTATTGAAGGCCAACCTTTATTTGAAGGCCAACATCTTATTACTAACAATAAATTTTACTTAAGAGGATAGCATTGAATTTAATAATGAAAAATAGTTGATATTCTGCGATATGACAGTGATAATTACGCTCGCAACCGTGTGAAACATTTTATAATAGTCAAGGCAGTTACGATCAAAACACGGAATAGTATAATACAATACCATTGAAATAAATTTTGTCTTATATTTGCACCTGACAAATGCATTTTTATGGCACGACTCATTTTCACGTGCTTTACGATTTGCAACCCATTCTTTCGAGTCACTAATGAAACTCACATTTCCTTCTTGTGCATTTTGCAGATATTACGCGCGGCTCATACATTAGGTATTACGAGGCGGCTATCTATGATACGGTGACCTTGAGACGTCATCGTAACCGGATACGCCGCGACGTTATCTACTCTGAGCAACCTTTGATTTTGCACCTGAAGACGCTCGACAGGTGAGTAAGTCCTGTAAATCAATTCATTCGCTCACTTCTCTCTATCTTATTGTTAGTACACTGCGAGAACTCTTTCTGCCTTGGATGATTAAGAAAAACTCATCTCATCAAACAAATATTCTTTTTTTTTTACACAAGATTATTTGTTATTTTAATTTTTGATAAAGATTTTCTTTGCTTTCTTTTTCTGCTATGTTTTCGAAGATTTTTTTTTCTACATCGAATGTAATATTGTAGTTCACTCATCGAACTGCATTTTTCAGAAAAGCAATTACAGAGTTTTTTTTACTGTACATAGTCATTTAATATAAGAAACGTTTAGCGCGAAAATGTTCTTCTCCCGTTCTGCGCGACAAACGGCATGCAATAGTCTCTTGAATGATAGGAGACACAGAAAACATTACCCTAATCCATCCCTCTTGTCCCCGACCTCTTTCAGTCCATCGATGTAACTACAGCGTTCGTCTCTTTATGTAAATTGGTAGAATCCACGTCGAGCAATAAAATGTAAAGCAGGAGTGTGCCGCGCACGTGGCTTTCGTCATCCCTTTCCCCGTTTGCATCCTTGTCGTACCAAGCTGTACGCCACACCCTCCTACCCATTTTTCTCTACCCTTTTTCACCATCGATAGTAGTCGCACTGCGTCGATGGCGTATTTATTCCGGCACACCTACTAAAAACTATATAGCAAAATAATTATTTGGAAGAGAAAAACAATTTTTAACGTAATATATGTACTCACTGTCTTTCTTCTCTCTCTTTCTTTCTGAAAAAAGCATAGTATATTAGATTAATCCGTTTTTCGCAATTTCCTTTATTGGAGTCAACAGTGCGAACATCAATCTCAATCGATTTTTATTTTGTTAAACATATTTGTTATGTAAATGCCATTTGGAGGAACGAAAGAGCGCATACATCGCACACCCGCAAGAAAAGTAACGCAAGCCGAAACTTTTCGAATTTTGTTTTTACTTGCGGATTGTATTCTAAGATACATCGGTCTTCAATCAGGAAAAGTGATAGAAGTTGAATTCATACTTTCCGCATGAATCCGTTGTTTAATACTGCCGTAAATAATTAATTTTAAAATTACTGTTTATTCAAGCGTGAAACTATTTTCCGTGAAATCAAGCTTGGTTCAGACGATTTATAATTTGCGATAGAATTTGAGATAAAAACCAATTCATAATATTATTAATAGGAAACGTTTATTATTACCGCAATGTGTTGTTCCTTCTTTTTTCTCTCCTGAACAATTTGATATTTTTTAAGTAAAAAATTGTGTCACTTTTCTTCGCGGGTGCGCAATATGTATATTTAGCTGAATATTCGTAGTGAGAAGCCATTTGATCTGTACGATGTTACATGGTTTCATCTCAAGCTTAAACGGCTTTAGAAGCTTTGAAGGTTTCGAACATCGTATCTCAAAGTCATAAGAGACATTCTGCATTAGATCTGCAAGTTTATATGGGAATGGAAAACGAAATGTCACGATTGCGAAGAATCATGTTTCGTAATAATTACTACAGTTTTATCGTAAATTATTTTAATGGAGATTCATAGAATATTTTATCAATATTGTTGGAATTGTTGAAGATGTATTGAACTACTTAAATTGCGACAATAGATATGCAAATCATTCACAATGGCGTTGTGTCTTAACAAGATCTCCCATCTACTCTATTAGCATTGAAAAGCGCATCTTTCTCTCTCTCTCTCTCTCTCTCTCTCAAACCGCTCCAGTTGATATCCCGCTATCTTTTCGTCACTTAACCTAAACAAGTCCTCCTACTCCACTATTGGCGATGTCAACAAAATGAAGCGTCTCTGACCACTCGAGTTACAGTACCCCACTCTCCTTCCGCAAGTATTATCGTTTAAGCTAAAACAGAACCTCCTTCTGCCCCACTATCGTTGTCAAGAAAACGACGCGCCGCGAACCACTCCAGTTGCAACGCCCCATCTTTCGCGTGAATCGCCGCTGATCTAAACAAGCCTTTCTTCTATCCTACTATTGGCCTTATCGCGACATCGTCGCGATGCGCCTCGGACCACTCCAGCTGCAGCTCCCCACTTTCGCGCAGTATCCTTCCGCTGAATCGCCGCTTAATTTAGTAAACGAGACCTTCTAGCCTCTTATTGGCGTTGTCAAAAACGACGCGCCTTGCACTACTCGCGGTTGCAGAACTCCTTTCGCGTAAATCAACGCTTAATCTAAAAGAATAAGCAAGATCTTTTATCCATAGAAATTAACGTATATGTATACACAAGTAAAATAGATAATCATATTGCATCTTATTGAATATATAATAATATTTCTAATATATCAAAGCAAGGCAATGAAAAAGATAAATTCTATTTTTCATTTTTAGTTGGCGTCAGTTTTTGATGTCACTTCCCCGATAATTACCTTTCCATGCTTGAAACTACAAAAATACTCTCGTTATCTTATAATTACAATTTGTTTTATAGATCCTGGACGATACGCTTAGTTCGCGACGCGAGTCTGTTTAGCAAGGATGTATCCTTCGAAAGCACAAACGGCCCGATATCCTTCGACATATCGCATTCTTACGTCGGTACTGTTTTGGGTAAGTCCATTATATCTCATCTCGTTTATAATCGATTTAAAAATATACATATACATATATATGTAAATATAGTTTGTAAGTATAGGAGATATGTAGATAACACATGCATCGAGAAAACATTAGAGAAATGATACGAAAGATGATCGAATTTTTTATATTCTCTTGCGTATAAAATTTCCAATCCCTGTATTATTATTATAGAAAGTTAAATTATTATTTTCTGTAAATATTATTTTAAAATGCGATAATAAAATTTTTTATCGGAGTTTAACGATTTTCGATAATAGAGATAATATTAATAATGCACAAATAAGATATTATAAATATTACAGAAGATAACAAAAATTATTTATGTTGGTTCAACGATAATAAGACACACAACGCGTACATTGAAAAGACTAATTACGTTGGCATGTAGTGTTTTTCGACCAAGGATTTTGATTCGAGATTACTGGGGATAATCTCGATAATCACAAAATGTTCTCGCCTCTTCATAGAGCGGTATAATGAGAACACCGAGATAATCATTGCAGCAATCGAATCAATATTTATTTTCGCTCACTCTGTGTACCGGAATTATATTACATAAACAAGATGTATTATTATCAACGACGCGATGCAATTACAAGCGAAGAAAAATGTCAACACATTTCAAGATTAAATGTGGTATACACCGATGAGCATATCTGTGACAACCAGCATCCTTTAAATCATCTTCATGATGGATAGCGTATAAACCGCTCTTGTTCGTTATTCTGAAACGGTTTCCGCGGGCACATGTGCACTATGTGCGTGCGGCTACACTCGCCCAGGGAAACCATGCTTCAGTGCACCTGAGAGTGTCTTGTTTAATCCTTGGATGCGCTTTATTCGTTTACATGTTACTGAAATGTTCTACTTAATTATAATTTACGAATACTGATTTCGCGAATTAATTCGACAATAAAGTCGAAAGTTATGTTAGATTTGTGATAGAAAAAACAAAGATAACATACATATTTTTATGTATAAATTAGATCCGATAAATTTATCATTCCGGTTTTAAAAGATTCGAGTGAAAAAAATTGTTTTCTATTTTTTCCGGAAAGAATTAACGGTTAAACTGATAGAAATCTACGCACGATATTGCCTAGATTCATCAAATCGATCCTATAGGATTAATAGTGCGGGTGTATTATACGATTCCCGTAAGCGTTTCCTGCAGAAATCAGGCAGACATATGGGTCGGACAATAGGAGGTACAGGGAAGAGGAGGTGGGGAGAGTTCGTGTGCGGTATAATTTCAGCATACGGCGAACTAAACGTAACCGCAAGCTCGCGAACGGGGCAGAAACTTGATCGTGAATGCAGCCCCGTCGCTTCGCCGGATCGTGAATTGCAAACGATCCCGTCGCCGCACCGTTTCTACGACCGAGATTGCGGAAAGTTGAACTGCCGTAATGGCATCTTGTCGTGGCAATATTTGAAGAATACTTAATTGACTATAAATCAAAGAAAATAATGTTTAATATTTCTAATATATTTGCATTATTAAGATTAATGTTAATTGCATTATTTCCAATAACATCCGGACGTTGTAGTCTTCGATTTAAAGCGATGATATCGTACCTAAATAGTTTCTTACGAACGTTCTTGTACGCTGACAAATTTCCGTCTAAAAATCGGTTCGGATTTGCATGTTTGAGCGTGTCTAATTATTCGCGCGCGCGTTTATGCTACAAATATATTTTTATAAAGTGAGAAGAAATTGCTTAAAGAAACAAGGCTTATTCTCCTTCAAACAAATCTGAATTTAATTGAACAAATAACACTTTGATGCAACGCTGATCTTGCCGAAAAAATAATTTGTTACGTTAATTGTGTAATTTATTCATGTTTAATTTGATATTTGTTCCAACGAAAGTAAATGACAATTTTGTTCATTGGAGCAATTTTCTCTCACTGGAGAGGATCTGTTCGCTGGCTGCAAACGCGTCTTTAGATATGATCAGAAGAGCATCAACTTGACATCGATCGAGAGACGAGATTTTATTAATCCTTCACGGTTGAATATTGAGCTGCACTCGACACCGAACTTTGGTGTATAGGATCCGGCTTAAGCAATCCGACACTATCCGCTGCGTTCAAAGAGAAGCGGACACGTAATTTATTTGCATTTATGTATAAAGCAATAAGAGCGAAATAACTCGCTTTTCAATATGCGTGAAGTGGTGAAATAGTTAATTATCTTCTTTGCCTCAATCGCGACAGCTTTAATTGGGATAACATTATTTTTTATATTAAAAAAATCCAAAACGTTTTAGAAAATGTGGGAAATCTAGAAAATTTTACAAGACAAAAATATGGCAGATCTGTTCTTTCACACTCTCTGGGATATAATCAACATTATTATTACAACCAACATCGTGCGGTACATAATCGTTACAATAAATGGCTATATCGTAACTTAGCATAGGCAACGCCGCGATTATATCTTACAACCAGCACGACTGTTATTTAATTTATCATCTAACCGTGCGATGCTCGATATTAGTAATTACGCGTAGAGCAATGCGGATATTAAATTACATAGCTCGACTTTTTGGCGTTCGTGCCCGCGTTGCAGCAACCGCTGCAATCTGCTGGACGATTGGTTGCAAGCTCGGCCTGATAACCAGTGCAATGGTGCAGGATAACGCATATCAACGATAATCCGATTAGTAATTAAACTTGCCTAATTGACGGTATATGCGCGTATAATTGCATATCCAGAGACACTCGATTTCCAATGCACGATAATGGAAAATCCCGGATAACTCCGGACTATTAGCAAGTAATCGACTTGGAAAGTTCATAAACGAATGAATCTACGCTGGGACAAGATATTAATGAAATATTTACCACATATTTGATTTTCTCCCGTACATTTGATATATTTAGTTCGCTTATCAAGATAAATGCATACTCGGCACGTCTACAAAATAACAAAATTAATTTTTCGTATAAGCGCATATCTGTTGACGTTTGATTAGTGGCGTTTCGAAGCTTCATGTTCGCTATAACGGGTATCTGTATTTTACATTCTATTTTCATGAACCTCTTATCTCTTTGCGCGAAAAAGGAACAGATAATAATTGGTTTTTAAATATTTATATTAGTATAAGCTCTGTGTTGCGAATTTTGTAACACTTAAAATTCAATTACGGGCAAAAAGAGCGCTTGTTTAAATTTCCGCAAATCTCTTTAATGTCAACAAGCTATAAATTAAATATGGAAATTTTTTATTACATTTTTTTTCTTCTCCTCTATTAAATTCTTTCTTTACCTCTACAATTTTATTTTTTATCATCCTAATATGAATTCATTATAATACCACAATATTTAATATCACAAGTAAGGGATGATTTCGGGACGATTTTTCAATCAATTGTTGAAATTTGTTAGACATGTTATTATGCAACGTCTTTCTTCATGATAACTACATCGTTGTATTCGTAAGAAATTTACACTGCGATAATAGTTAATTAGGAACTTTCAAAATGCACAAAATTTGTTATTTGTCATCATATAATCGACAAATTCGTCTCTCAATAGGCAAAACTTTTAAGTCTATGAGTAATGGCATTTTCTTTCTGGTTCTCCGAAGATAGTAGCTATCATTGGACTGATAGATCTTGTTTTCTATAATATTTTTTAGTAATTTTTTAAATTTAATTCTCATATGCTCATGTTTTTGTCGGTTTATTGAATAATTATTAAAAGTGTGCTAAATAAGTTTGTCAAATATTATTTTTATACTTGCTTTTACTTGATTGATAAATTAACTATTTAAAATCACCTTTGAAACGTAGCACAGGCTATTTTCATAATAATTTTTTGCAAATTATGATATGCAAACCAATTGTGCTGTTTACTTAATTAATAATACGTTTTACGAACAATTTGGCGCGCAAACTAAAACGCGAAAGGATAATAAATTGATCACGATCATAGGATGAAGATTCTTTTGGCCGATCGCCAGTTTATCCCAACGTATTCATAAGCAGAACTTCTCGCTCCAGAGCTTTTCGTACTCGAGAGATACGAATTATGAGGCAAAAGAACAAAGACAGAACGCGCATTTTAAAACTATAGCTACTCCGACTAATTAAGCCGAGATTTTGAAGCTGCATAGCGTATTGTGAAGCATTTCTAGCTGACAAAGAAAATCTAATTACTAAAATGTATTTCTTGTAAACTGACGTGTGTAAACTTTCTTTTTATGAAGTTTTCAAGTAATGGGCAATGCTAATGTATCAACGAGGCGTATGCATATTTATAAAAAGTTAATTGTTAAGTTAATAATTAAGAAAATTTAATCATTACGATTTACTTTTGGCTTGAGTAATTAATTTGAGTATTATTGAGATTAATATATCTTACAGCGTTCTCAGTCGCTACCGCGTGTTCTCGGTTTTTAGACCACCCTCATATCCGAGCGTTCTCGGTCGCTGTCGAGCGTACTCGACTCCATTTTCCGGTGACCAGCGTTATCCAGCATTCTCCAATGCCACCGAGAGTTCTCGGCTTCTGCCTCCGTTTTCTTGCGTCCAAACGTCCAAACGTTCTTGAGTGCCGTTAATTTAAATTTGATTTTGAATATTGAACAGATCGATAACGCGAATATCAATTCGAAGGAGAATTAATTTGATTTTTCTTTCTTGTCGTGATTCGAGTAGGTTGAATAGCAGGTAATCAAATAGTCAATTAACAAACTATGTTGGTATGTGTTTGTCGATACATCAATAATCTCTCGTGCACTCGAGTCCATAATTTATCGCGATCATCAACAGCAGAATATTTATTACTTTTGGCGCCATGAGTCTTGAGAACGGAGAAAAATAGTTTTGTTAAGAGAGATTGCATTGCTCTCTTTGATTGGCAATTCGAGGCAAACAAGAGTATCGAAAGAATAAACGTCGCCTACAATTAAGCGAGAATAAAACTTATATAATTTTATCGAGTTTAGAATTTACATTTGT